CTACATCTTCTACTGAAGCACTGGAAGAAGTAAGATGGTGAGTGCAGCAGTGCTGTGTCACACTGAAGGTCCATCTAGTTCAATATGCTGGTCCTGACTGTGAACAAAAGTGGATGTCCAGGGATAAGGTGAGATCAGGGCAAGTATATGGGATACTTGCCCCAAATGCTTTGATCGTCCTGGCTGGTTGTCTCTGAAACTCTTCCACATCTATTTAATCCTCTCCGAGAGGTGTAAACCAGAACTGTGCACACAGTGCTCAAGGTATGGCTGGGCCATGAATATATACGGTAGCTGTATCAGAATCACTGTTTGGTTCTCTGTTTCTTTGTAGTGCCTGACGCTTGATTTGCACTTCTGACTTGTGTTGAGCAAATGCCACGTACTACTGCTACTAGCAACATTGCACTCAAAATAGCTGAGATTTGAATGCATGAAGTAGCTGTACTGGGATTAAACCGATGCTGTGATTTGTTGTTGGGAGGTATTCTTCCCATTGCGCACTTCGTTATCAGTTTGTCAGGGGTTGTGTGTGTGTGAAGGGGTGGTAGGTTTTGTTCTGCCTGCAGTGTGGTACATGTGTTTTAGACTTTTTTTAAAAATCAAATTTTATTAAACAAATTCCTTGCAGAGGATCAGGACACTGGTGATGTCCTTGGTCTTCCTCACTTTAACTCTGGTAGTTCATTGCAGTTGTGCATTTCAGTCTCTTGGGTTGCTTTGTATGTTTTTGTTTTGGAGTGCCTGAAGTATTTTGGTAATCGGGGAAAATTACAGGGAATAGATGCTTTGAACTGACTATTTCTTACATGACTGTGTGTAATTGCAGGATTTTGGAGCTGGTGATACAGACATTCCATTCCACACCTGTGTTTCCAATGTGACTGTCTAATCTCCAATAAGTAATCCAGTAATGAGACCTGGGTAATTTGTTATAAGCGGTTAAACTTCTAACTCTGACTTGTTAGAATAATTTTGCATCTCATCAATGTAATTTGGAATTGTTTCACAAAAAGTGGGTCTTGTCTCAACTGTTTTGAAGGAGGTTTTGCACTGTAGTGTTTCTCTGGGTAGAAAGAATGACAGTTGGACCTAATAATCTGTAAGGAAAACCTTAGAAACACTCAATTTGAGAAGCTTAAACTGATGTTCTTTCATGCATTTATGTGTTACTCAGAAGCAGGGAGGGAGGGAGATGGAGGGAGCTTGGTATAAATACATGCTGCTCAGAACTGGGATTTTTATTAAGGATTCTATGTATGCATTGTCCTGCTTTCTCCAAATGGCAGAAACATTCTTTAAAAAGTATGATAAGAAAGAAATGCAGTCTCTCCTGGAACCCTTCAGATGCCAGATGATTTCACTTAGCATATTAGTTGTATACTTTTGCCCACGCCACGTATTTGTTTGACTCCTGCTATTTGGCCTCTTGCTGGGTTTAACCTGACAAAGGTTAAAGGCAGTG